ACAGGCATGTGCCACCATGCGCTGCTAATTTTTTTGTATTTTTAGTAGAGACAGGGTTTCTCTATGTTGGTCAGGGTGTCTCAATCTCTTGATCTCATGATCTGCCTGCCTCAGCCACCTAAAGTGCTAAAATTACAGGCATGAGCCACCGTGCCCTGCATTTATTTATTTATTTATTTTTCTTTGAGATGGAGTTTTGCTCTTGTTGCCCAGGCTGGAGTGCAATGCCACGATCTCAGCTGACCTTGACCTCCACCTCCTGGGGTCAAGTGATTCTCCTGCCTCAGCCGTTGAGTAGCTGGGATTACAGGGACCCACCCCAATGCCCAGCTAATTTTTTGTATTTTTAGTAGAGATTGAGTTTCACCATGTTGGCCAGGGTGGTCTCAAACTCCTGATCTCTGGAGATCCACCCGCCTCAGCCTCCCAGAGTGCTGGAATTATAGGTGTGAGTCACTGTGCCCCGCCTAGGTTCTGAATACGGTTCCGAAGTTGGGTGTGGTGGTGCATGCCTGTAATCCCAGCTACTTGGGAGGCAGAGGCAGAAGAATCGCTTGAACCCGCGAGGTGGAGGTTGCAGTGAGCTGAGATCACACCACTGCACTGCAGCCTGGGAGACAAGAGTGAGACTGTCGGAGAAAAAAATGCTGTTATACTTTGCACAAGGACTCAACAGGGCATAGGCCCTTTCCCCCTTCATGTTGCCATTCCTGCACCTGGGCCCAATTTTAGATTGAGACAATGCAAGTTTAGAATTCAGCCATAAGTGGCCAGGCGCAGTGGCTCACGCCTTTAATCCCAGCATTTTGGGAGGCCGAGGAGGGCAGATCATGAGGTCAGGAATTCAAGACCATCCTGGCCAACATGGTGAAACCCCAGCTCTACTAAAAATACAAAAATTAGCCAGGTGGCCGGTCTTGGTAGCTCATGCCTATAATCCCAGCCGAGGGGGATGGATCATGAGGTCAGAGGTCAGGAGTTTTAAGACCAGACTGACCAACTCAGGAGGCTGAGGCAGTAGACTTGCTTGAACCTGGGAGGTGGAGGGGCAATAAAGTGAGACTCCATCTTAAAAAAAAAAAAAAAAAAAGCCCAGTGGGGTGGCTCATGCATGTAATCCCAGCTAACTAGGGAGGGTGAGGTACAAGAATCGCTTGAACCCAGAAGGCAGAGGCTACAGTGAGCCGAGATTGCACCACCTCGCTGCAGCCTGGGCGAAAGAGCGAGACTGCATCTCAAAAACAACAACAACAACAAAAATAGCCAGACATGGTGGCACTCCCCTGTGGTCCCAGCTGCTTGAGAGGCTGAGGCGGGAGAACCACCTGAAGCCGGGAGACCAAGGTTGCAGTGAGCTGAGATCATGCCACTGCACTCTATTCCCAAAAACAAAGCAAAACAAAAGAAAGAGAAATGAAAATATCAGTCTCTAAGGATTGCACTGAGAATGGAGATCTCAACATGTCCACTGTGCCTGATACACAGTAGAACACAGAAAATGTCAGTTTCATTATAGTCACTGGGATTCTTTTGAGAGCAGGAATTCAGCCCTATTCATTTAAGTAATCCCTCAGTGCTCTGCACATGACTTCTTTACAGTTGTCGAATTGAACACGGATCAAAGAGCAGTTTGTTATCCGGCCTCTTCATTTTATTTTATTTGATTAATTAATTTTTAAAGATAGAGTTTCACTCTTGTTACCCAGGCTGGAGTGCAATGGCATGACCTTGGCTCACTGCAACCTCCGTCTCCTGGTTTCAAGTGAGTCTTCTGGCTCAGCCTCTCAAGTAGCTGGGATTACTGGCATGCACCACCATGCCTGGCTAATTTTGTATTTTTAGTACAGACGGGGTTTCAGTTTCATCATGTTGTTCAGGCTAGTCTCGAACTCCCAACCACAGGTAATCCAGCGGCCCTGGCCTCCCAAAGTGCTGGGATTACAGGCTTGAGCCACCGTGCCTAGCCCTAGTCTTGTTTTATACATGAGAAACTGAGCAGCACAGAGGGCAACTATAAGTCATCCACATCCCACTTTTATTTTATGGTTGGATCCTTTTTTTCCCCTTGAGAAAGAGTCTCACTCTATTGCCCAGCCTGTAGTGCAATGCCAGGATCTCAGCTCACTGCAACTTTCGCCCTCCAGATTCAAACGATTCTCTTGCCTCATCTTCCTGAGTAGCTGGGATTACAGGCATGTGCCACCAAATCTGGGTAATTTTGTATTTTTAGTAGAGATGGGGTTTCTCCATGTTGGTCAGGCTGGTCTTGAACTCTTGACCTCAGGTAATCCGCCTGCTTTGGCCTCCCAAAGTGCTGGGATTAAAGGTGTGAGACACCTTGCTTGGCTGCTAATTCTTTTGTTGTTGTTGTTGTTGTTGAGACAGGGTGTTGGTATGTTGCCCAGGCAAGTCTAAAATTCCTGGGCGTGGCCAGGCATGGTGGCTCATGCCTGTAATCCCAACACTTTGGGAGGCTGAAGTGGGTGGATCACCTGAGGTTGGGAGTTCAGGACCAGCCTGAACAAAATGAAGAAACCCCATCTCTACTAAAAATACAAAATTAGCCAGGTGTGGTGGTGTATACCTGTAATCCTAGCTACTTGGGAGGCTGAGGCAGAAGAATCGCTTGAACTTGGGAGGTGGAGGTTGCAGTGAACCGAGATCATGCCATTATTCCAGCCTGGGCAATAAGAACAAATTTCCATCTCAAAATTAAAATAAAATAAAATTCCTGGGCTCAAGTCTCCTACTCTGGCCTCCCAAAGTGATACGATTGCAGGTATGAGACTTGATTTTTTTTTTTTTTTTTGAGACAGAGTCTCGTTTTGTCACCAGGTGCCAGGTGACAGTGGCGTAATCTCGGCTCACTGCAATCTCTGCCTCCTGGGTTCAAGCAATTCTCCTGCCTCAGCCTCCTGAGTAGCTGGGACTACAGGCATGCACCACCACACCCAGCTAATTTTTTTTTTTTTTTTTTTTGAGACACAGTCTTACTCTGTCACCCAGGCTGGAGTGCAGGGGCATGGTCACGGCTCACTGAAGGCTTAACCTCCTGGGCTCAGGTCATCCCTCCCTCAGCCTCCTGAATAGCTGGGACTACTGGTGTGTACCACACCTGGCCGATTTTTTTTGGTTTGTTGTAGAGACAGGGTTATCCCATGTTGCCCAGGCTGGTCTTGAACTACTGGCCTCAAGCAATCTTTCCATCTCGGCCTCCCAAAGAGCTGGGATTACAGGCATGAGCCACCCAGCTTCATTTCTTTATTTTATTTATTTTGAGACGGAGTTTCGCTGTTGTTACCCAGGCTGGAGTGCAATGGCAGGATCTCGGCTCACCGCAACCTCCACCTCCTGGGTTCAAGCAATTCTCCTGCCTCAGCCTCCTGAGTAGCTGGGACTACAGGCACGTGCCACCATGCCCAGCTAATTTTTGTATTTTTAGTAGAGATGGGGTTTCACCTTCTTGACCAGGATGGTCTTGATCTTTTGACCTCATGATCCACCCACCTCAGCCTCCCAAAGTGCTGGGATTATAGGCATGAGCCACCACGCCCAGCTTATTTATTTATTTTTAAGACAGGGTTTCACCATGTTAGTCAGGCTGGTCTTGAACTCCTGACCTCAGGTGATCCGCCCGCCTTGCCCTCCAAAGGGCTTGGATTACAGGTGTGAGCCACCACGCCCAGCCCTAATTTTTATATTTTAGTAGAGACAGGGTTTCACCATGTTGGCCAGGATGGTCTCGATCTCTTCACCTCATGTTCCACCTGCCTCAGCCTCCCAAAGTGCTGGGATTACAGGTGTGAGCCATCGCGCCCGGCCTTAAGACTTGATTTCTTATATGTTGAGAAAAGTAACTGGCCTCTGTAGGGAGTGGCAGATATGGATTTGACCCCAGCTCTGCCAACCACCAAAGTCCAAGTGTTTATTGTCCACCTGGACCGCCTCAGACACTTGCAGGATGCGGTAAGTAAAATGACAGGTGCACAGAAGGTGCTCCGAGAACAGCTTGTCTTCATGTTTACAATGGCTTCTTTCCCTAGCCAAGGACTCTATCAGCCTTTCCACTTGCGGACAGGCTGAGCTCGCTGAGGGCGTCAGGCCCCACAGGGCTCCCTGCCAACCTCCCATCACTGTGACTGAATTTGTTCTTTTCTTTTCTTCCAGGAACATCAGCACACTTGTAACAATAATCATCTTCTTTCCCACCGGGTATACTGTTTCATGGTTTACAAAGCACTTTCACATCCATTATCTCATTTAATCACTTCCTCCTCCACATTCCTACAACAGTTTCTTAGTACCTCTTCAGTATAACATTCTGCCTGGTATAACAGGCCTATTTCCCTTTATTATATTAAAAAATTTATTTACTTTATTTATATTTTATTTATTTATTTATTTATTTTTGAGACGGAGTCTCGCTCTTGTTACCCAGGCCGGAGTGCAATGGTGCGATCTCGGCTCACCGCAACCTCCGCCTCCTGGGTTCAGGCAATTCTCCTGCCTCAGCGTCCTGAGTAGCTGGGAAAACAGGCACACGCCACCACCCAGCTAATGTTTTGTACTTTTAGTAGAGATGGGGTTTCACCATGTTGACCAGGATGGTCTCAGTCTCCTGACCTTGTGATCCACCTGCCTCGGCCTCCCAAAGTGCTGGGATTACAGGCGTGAGCCACCGCACCCAGCTATTTATTTATTTTTTGAGATGGAGTTTCACTGTTGTTACCCAGACTGGAGTGCAATGGCATGATCTTGGCTCAGCGCAACCTCCACCTTCTGGGTTCAAGCAATTCTCCTGCCTCAGCCTCCTGAGTAGCTGGGACTACAGGTGTGCACCACTATGCCCAGCTAATTTTTGTATTTTTAGTAGAGACGGGGTTTCACCTTGTTGACCAGGATGGTCTGGATCTCTTGACCTCGTGATCCACCCTCCTCAGCCTCCCAAAGTGCTGGGATTATAGGCGTGAGCCACCGCGCCCGGCCTAAAAAAAATTTTTATACTTACCTGGCAGGGGAGATACCATGATCACGAAGGTGGTTTCCCAAGGCCAGGCTTATCCATTGCACTCCGGATGTGTTAACCCCTACAATTTCCCCAAATGTGGAAAAATTAGACTGCATAATTTGTGGTAGTGGTGGACTGCGTTCCCACTTTCCCCTAGTCTTTCATTTCATAAAAATATTTAAAAAAAAATGTTTTTTTGAGATGGAGTACTGTCACCCAGGCTGGAGTGCAATGGCACAATCTTGTCTCACTAAGTCCGCCTCCCAGGTTCAAGTGATTCTCCTGCCTTATTCTCCCGAGTAGCTGGACTACAGGTGTGAGCCACTACGCCCAGCTAATTTTTGTATTTTTAGTAGAGATGGGGTTTCTCCATGTTGGTCAGGCTGGTCTCAAACTCAAACCTCAGCCTCCCTAGTAGTGGGACTACAGGCGTGCACTGCCTTGGCCTCCCAAAGTGCTGGGATTACAGGCGTGAGCCACTGCACCCGGCCTATTGCATTTAATTTTACTCACAAGTTCCAGCGTATAATTCAGGCATCTTTGCATCTTGGACACTTCTGCGTACAAGGTGGGGGGCCATAAAAGTTTGGTGTGCCAGTCACAGTAGTCTTTGACCACAGTACCAGTTACTTGGGAGGCTGAGGCAGGATGATTGCTTGAGCTCAGGAGTTTGAGTCCAGCCTGGACAACATAGCAAGACACTGTCTCTGAAAAAAAGTTTGCCATATTGACTGACCAGTGTTGCAGGTCTCTTTCATTCATTACTGCCTTCTTCATTCCTTTCCTTCAATGGGGTTGTCTACTAAGGACAAAGCTGGGTTCTTTGGAGGGGAAATGAGGCAAGAAGTTCAGAATCAAGTGAGGGAAGATACAAGTGAAGGCCATGACCCCTGGTAGGCCACAGTACATGCTTCATGCTTCAGCAGAGGTGCAAACACTGTTGGGGCTGGGCACGGTGACTCACACCTATAATTCTAGCATGTTGGGAGGCAGAAGCGGGAGGACTGCTTAAGGCCAGGAGTTCAAGACCAGCCCAGGTAACAGACAGAGACCTCGTCTCTACAAAAAATACAAAAATTAAAAAACATAGACAGGTCTTGTGGCATGCACTTGTGGTCCCACCCACTTAGGGGCTGAGTCAGGATGATCACCTAAGCCCAAGAGGTGGAGGCTCCAGGGAGCCGTGATCTTGCCACTCTTCTGCAGCCTGGGGTACAGAGCAAGATCCCATCTCAAAGAACAAACAAAAAGGAAAAAAATTACAAATACAACACTGTTGCTTCCCAGAGTTTGCGGTGACTTTTTTTTTTTTTAGACAGGGTCTCACTGTGTCACCCAGGCTGGAATGCAGTGGCAGGATCATGACTCTCAGCAGCTTCAACCTTCCAGGGTCAGGTGATCCTTCAATAGTTTAGGGGCTGGGCGCAGTGGCTCACACCTGTAATGCCAGCACTTTGAGAGTCCTAGGCGAGCAGATCATGAGGTCAGGGGTTCAAGATCAGCCTAGCCAACATAGTGAAACCCCCAACTCCACTAAAAATACAAAGATTAGCTGGGTGTGGTGGCACACACCTGTAGTCCCAGCTACTCAGGAGGCTGAGGCAGGAGAAATGCTTCAACCTGGGAGGTAGAGGTTGCAGTGAGCCAAGAGCATGCCATTGCACTCCAGCCTGGGCGACAGAGCAAGACTTCATCTAAAAAATAAAATAATAATTTGGGGTGACTGATTTTATCTAGGGGTGATTGGGAAGCAGGAATTCTTGGAAGGATCTTACCCAGCAGAGAAGGAAACTGTGGGGCAGAAGGGGCAAATATTGGCCAGATTTGGGAAGGGCCACAGATGTGTCCCTTGGGAAAGAGTGGACAGCTGTATGAAAAAATTCTCCTCAAGAAAAAAAGGGGAAGGGGGCAAAATGGGCTGCTTTTCTAAAATGGTCTAACTCCCCACAATGTCCTAGGGGAGAGGCATCAGAGAGCTGAAGTTTAGGGAAAAGAACCCTTCCTCCCATACTCAGATGCTGCTTAGAAAAGCACATGAAGCACAACTCCCTGGCATTTTTCTTTTTCTTTCTTTTTTTTTTTTCAGATGGAGTTTCACTCTTGTTGCTCAGGCTGGAGTGTAATGGCAGGATGTTGGCTCACCGCAACCCCCACCTCCCGGGTTCAAGCAATTCTCCTGCCTCAGCCTCCCAAGTAGCTGGGATTACAGGCAAGCACCACCATGCCCAGCTAATTTTGTATTTTTAGTGGATAAGGGGTTTCTCCATGTTGGTCAGGATGGTCTTGAACACCCGATCTCAGGTGATCCGCCTGCCTCGGCCTCCCAAAGTGCTGGGATTACAGGTGTGAGCCACCATGCCCGGCCCATTTTTCTTTTTTGTTCTTTCTTTTTTTTGAGATGGAGTCTCACTGTCACCCAGGCTGGAGTGCAGTGGCAGATCTTGGCTCACTGCAACCTCTGCCTCCCAGGTTCAAGTGATTCTTCTGCCTCAGCCTCCTGAGTAGCTGAGACTACAGGGGCTGAACACCATGCCCAGCTAATCTTTGTATTTTAGTAAAGATGGGATTTCACCATGTTGGCCAGGCTGGTCTGGAATTCTGACCTCGGGTGATCCAACCACCTCTGCTTCCCAAAGTGCTGGGATTACAGGCATGAGCCACCAGGCCTGGCAACTTTTTCTTTTGTTTTTTGGAGACAGGGCCTTGCTCTGTCGCCCAGGCTGGAATACAGTGGCACGATCTTGGCTCACTGCAGCCTCGACCTCCCGGCTCAAGTGATCCTCCCGGCTCAGCCTCCGGAGTTGCTGGGACTACAGGTGTGTGCCACCACCCCAGCTAATTTTTTTATTTTAATTTTTGTAGAGACGGGGTATTGCTATGTTGCCCAGGCTGGTCTGAAACTCCCAGACTCAATCGATTCTCCAGCCTCAACATTTCAAAGTGCTGGGATTCCAGAGGGGTAGGGGTGCGCGTGGGAAAAAAAAAGTAAAGGGGTGATGGGCCGTCTCCTGCCGTCCTTCTCTGGAGAAAGGTGGGTGCTTTAAGCCCCAAATTCCTCCTGGAGGGAATAGGGGAGGCAGAAATTCCCCAAGTTATCTCCAGAAACAAAGGTGGGGGGGCGCACAGTCCCCACTTTCCTCGGATAAAGGACAGGGAAAGTGGTCCCCAAAAGTGCTTAGAAAAGGAGTGGATGCGCCCCAAATATTCCTCGGAAAAGGCAGTGAGTCCTGGATTCCCCAAATGCCCCTTAGGGATCCCGAACCCATGTTTATATACGAAACAGAGCTGGGGTCCCGAATCTACAAAATCACAGTGATCCCGGCAATTGGTCCTCAGAAAAGCGGACCGGGAAAAAAAACCCCAAACTCTCTCAGAAGAGGGGCCCGGGCAAGATTCCCAAAGATTCTCCGTAGAACGGGGAACCATGGAAAAGAAGCCCGAAGCAGAGTCTTCTCAAGGAACGGGGGCCGCGCCAGAATCTCCAAGATTCTCCTGGAGAGAGAGGGTCAAAGCCAGTAGACAAGGCAGAAACAGCGCGGGGCCACCGGAGTCCCTCGGGAACACGGCCAGGCCACGACGCGCCCGGGCTCCTCGGAGGCACCGCCCGCCGCCCGGCGTAGCCGCCCCACGCCCGCCAGGCCCAGGCCGCCTCCAGTGCATTGTGGGTGGGGTGCCCCTGCAGAGCACTGCGGGGAACCCCCTGCCCAGCCAGCTGCCGGCCGCCGGGTGGCCCAGGCGATCCGCCCTCCGGGGTCCGAGCAGGCCGGCCACGAATTGACGCATCCCCCTAGGCCCCGCCCTCGCAGGGGTTCCCGCCCCGAAGGTTAGGTCCCGCCTCCGCATGGCCTTGAGTGGCTCTGCGGCCCGCTCCTATCTGCAATTGGTAGGATGCCTGTCAGTCATTCCGTCCCACCTCCTCGGACCCGCCCCGGCCGGCGGCGCGATCCCGAGAACCAGCCGGCCCGCGCACTCATTGGTCATCATGCGCTGTCTGTCATGAAGCTGGCCACACCTTCTGTGGTGTGCGGGTCCTAGGAGTCCCGGCTGGACCTCATTGGCCTGTGACGCCTTCACTCGGAGAGACGCGCCTCAACCCGGAAGTGTGCGAGGCGAAATCTGCCTAGCAACCGGGGAAGCCGGGCTGTGAAGCGGGCAATTTCAGTGTGAGACTGAGCGGCGAGACCGAGCTGCGGCTCCGAGCGCGGCGCAGCGGCTCCTCCCGCTCGGGGTCAGCGCCCCGGCGCGCGCACGCGCACCCCCGCCGCCCGAGCGCGCCCCGCGCCGCCCGCGCAGTCGGTCGGTCGGTCGTCCGTCCTGTCGCCGCCGCCACCGCTGCCGCCGCGGGCACCACCTGAGGGAGTCGCTTCCGCGGGACGCCACAGGACCTGACCGGACTGCGCCGCCCGAGACCGTCCCGTGGCCTGGCTGCCGTCGGCGGGGGCGCCGAACAACTTCGGTGAGTGAGGGGCCGGCGCCGCCGGCGGGTCCCGGCTTCCGGTGTCCCGGGCTCTCTGGGGCTTCCGCTTCTCCCGCACCACCTTCGCCGAGCGGACTCCCTTCTTTACAGGAGCTCCCTCTCAGGGGAGCCCCATGCTCAGGGGTCCCCCGTCTCTCTAGGGAACCCCATCTCTCTAGGGGACCCTCGCCTCTCTTGGGGACCCCCACCTCTCTAGGGACCCCTCGCCCCTCCAGGGGACCACCTCTTCTCTAGGGGACCCCCATCTCTTGTAGACCCCGTCTCTCCAAGCAGAGGACCCCATCTTTCTAGCGACCCCTACCTCTCTAGGGGACTTTCTCCTCTAGGGGCTCCTGCTTCTCTGAGGGCTGCGTCTCTCCAGTCAGGGGACTTTGCCTCTCTAGGGGACCCCTGCCTCTCTAGAAGATCCCCATCTTTCTAGGGTACCCCTGCCTCTCTAGGGGATCCCAACTCTCTGGGGATCCCTGCCTCTCTAGAGGATCCCCCACCTCTTTAGGGAACTCCGTCTGTCTAGGGGATACCCGCCTCTCTAGGGGACCCTCGTCTCTCTCTGGGACCTGGTCTCTAGGGAACCCCCGCCTCTCTTAGGGGAGCCCTGTCTCTCTAGGCGACCCTGCTTCTTTGAGGGGACCCCCCCTTATCTGGGGCTCCCCTGCTTCTCTGAGGGGAGGGGACCCCC